AATGTTAGTATTTTTTATTTTGAAAAATACTTGTGTGTATTTCAAAATAACAATATGAATTTTATGGTTTTTCCAAGGCTGTATTTTATAAAGAGAGAAAGCTATGGGTTGTTAGTCCCACATTGAAGAAGAGAGAGTAAATTGAATGGTATTTAAATGAAGGTATTATCATGCCTTATATTCTTAATACAAAGTAGAGAATGATGGTGCATGTGTGGACATCCAACAGTCACCCATCGTTGAAGGTATGGAGGCTTGCAACAACAAGGGTATGGAGGCTTGCAACAAGAAGCTTAAGGGGGTGCATGTAACTGGACGCTCCGAAAAATGTGATGCTTATATTGATTAAAATATTTAAATAAACATTAGGATCCAAACAATGACCAGAGGATATCACACTCAGAGCTAAATTCGTCTATGCACTCGATATCATAGAAGCATAGGTTGTTATATTATTTATTGGGAAGGGAACAATTCTAGAGGTTTAGTCATTTGTACACTCACACTATAGAGTATTCTATGATAAGTACTCAACAACATTTGGATACTTATATATTTTTATTTTGTACATGGAGCATTTTTTAATAAAGGTATTTTCAGTCATTATGATGGATGTGACATTATCCATATGGGATGTGACTTCACCCACATGGAGCACACTATTACCATTTAATACTGCATGTAGGTGATATCACACCCTTGTGGATAATGTCATATCCCTCCTAATTATCAAACATATCCTTATTAAAAAAAGCTCAATGTACAAAAAATAGTATATAAGTATCCAAATTTTGTTGAATATAATGATAAATCACTCTATAGTGTCTATAGTGTGAGTACCATAACATAACTATATATATATATATATATGGAGTGGATTTTGTACGCCCACTAGCTTACCACTACAGTAAATGTCAATGGCCCAGATTAAATCTGGGCCGATCTGATGATCACGACCTCATTTAGAGTTTGAATTTTAATTTTTTTCTACAAATCTAAATCACTTAAAATTTTCAAGTGTTTGAATTTTAATTTTTTTCTATGAATCCAAATCACTTGAAATTTTAGGTGTGTGTTCTTCTCATCAATGAGCACCTAATGAAAATATAAATAATAATAATAATTCGTAAAGCAATTAAAATTCAAATCTAAATCACTTGAAAATTTCAAGTGATTTAAATTTGTAGAACAAACAATAAAATTAAAATACTATCGGACATCTATGATTGTCAGATCAGACCAGATTCACTCTGTGTCGTGGGCGTTTACTGTAGCGGTACGCCATGGCATACAAGATCTTTTCTATATATATATATATATATATATATATATATAAGATGCTAGGGTAAGCCCACTAGCTCATGGGAAAAAATGAGCCCAACGGCCCAGATTATATCTGGGCCGTTTTGACGATCACGGATGTTCAGTAGTGGTTGAATTTTAATTGTTTTTCTACAAATCCAAATCACTTGAAATTTGAAGCATTTGTAGATATATAATAGGAGAATCTTTGAAAAATATCAAAAAAATATTTTACATGAAATAAATTGATCAAAATACCCCCAAAATGTTTCAGGGGTATTTTTGTCAATTTTTTTACGAATTATTTTTTTTATATTTTTATTAGGTGCGGCTTGATGAGAAGAACAAATGCCTAAATTTTCAAGTGATTTGTATTCATAGAAAAAAATTAAAATTCAAATAGTACTAGACATTTGTGATAGTCAGATCGGCCCAGATTCAATCTGGGCCGATCTAACGATCACGGATGCCCGATAGTGTTTGAATTTTAATGTTTTTTTATAAATCTAAATCACTTGAAATTTTAGAAGTGTGTCAATAAAAAAATAGCTGAATTTTCGAAAAATATTAAAAAATATTTTACATAAAAAATAATGATCAAAATATCCTTGTAAATTTTTAGGGTTATTTTGGTCATTTTTATTACGTATTTTTTTTTTATATTTTTATTAGATGCCGCTTGATGATAAAAATATTCACCTAAAATTTTAAGTGATTTGGATTTGTAGAAAAAAAATTAAAATTCAAACACTCTCGACCGTCAGAGCGGGCCAAATTCATTCTGGGCTATTGGGCTTATACCATTATGTGAGCTTGTGGGCTCACCCTAACATCTTTCATATATATATACATATATATATGTGTGTGTGTGTGCAATGCCTATGAGAGAAAATGAACAATGTTTTCATAATGTATGGATAAATCAATCGCACCAGACATGTTATGTCCATTGCGGTACTACAACAATGACTCTATGGCATGTTCGGTATGCTTGATTTTTTGCACAAAAAACCTGCAAAACCACAATCTCTACGAGAGCCGTTGCGAGGCGAAACACCATAAATTTTCCCTCTATGGCCCTTTATATATATAT